GGTGGAGGTGCACGGAGACGAAGGTGGATGGAGACGGCGGCGGGGGCGGCACGTGGGGGAAGAAAAGACCTGCCACCACCATCCTAGGGCCCGACGCAGCTTCGCCTGCCGCCCCTCCGATGGCGACGGCGCGGGAGAGGGCGTGGGCGGGGGAGGGGGAGGGGGGCTGGCGGCGGTTGCTAGGGTTCCCTCGTGTTGCCCGAAGCGAGCGACGCGGGGGTCGGGGGACCAGAGCTTCTAGGGTTGTGAAATCTACTCAATTTCGTGCATGTCGTTTCAGACTTCCGTTTCATGGAAGTTCATACACGTTTCACGTTTGTTGAGTTGTTGGCTTATTGCTTGCATGTGGTGTCTTTCTCATTCATCTTGACAAACAGGAGTACTGAGTACAGTCCCAACATGTAACAAGTCAGTTCACATCGCGTCCAAGAAACTTCAGCAAAATAACGGTACAGTTCTAAACAAGCTTCTAGCTCAGACCACCAACGTCCTTTCCTCTATTAGTTAGTTTCCTAATCAAAACTGAATAAAGTAATGGAATGGTAAAGCTGGCGAGATCTACTGAGTTTGGCTTGTGTCTGGCGTTCAACCTTGTTTTTTTGCTGGGGAGATCATAGGGGTTGATTTTGGCAACATGACAACTTTTTTCTTCCATAAATGTCACTTCTCATTGACTCGTAATATAACATCAAAAGGGTTATAAACACAATGAATATACACATGACCTCTGGATGGTTAACATGCACATAGAGAACACCAAGGCGTGCACACAAGATCACATCAACATAGAGCAAAGTTAAACAGGACCAAAAGGAGGAAAAATACAAAACAGAAAAAGGGAAAAGAAACAACACCAACGATGATCCACGCCAAACAGTTGCTAAACCTATTTTAGTTGCACCCGGACAGCTAGCACTTAAATTTGTATACCTCTCATTGTTTACCATGTTTTATCCTTAGTTACCCCAGTTCAGTAAGAAACTGCAATCATATCTCACATTGAGTTACACTTTATATGTGGTTGTTACTCATGAATTGGATATGTGCATGAATATGCATAGCTGCCACTAAGAAATGAATATGCATGCAAATATCCAGAGTTTGCATGTACCAAGTGTTTGTGCAAAATTGATCAAAATAATAACAAGTAACACTCTCCTTTGTAACTATTATGCATGTACCAAACATATCATTTATAAGTAAATCTTGTTGCTATCCTTTAGATAATAACAAATGCATCCTTTATACTAAATCTTTTGGCTTTCCTTTGAATAATCACAAGTGATATGCATGCACTGAGTGCGTCAATTATAATTAAATCATTTGTGCTCTCCTTAAATATTCACAAGTGGTATCCATGATTTCCATAAACAATAGATTGTATATGAGTTTTCTCTTGTTTCTTCATTCACCCTTGCTTTCGAACGATGTGGTTATACTATTTTTTTTCTTGAACTAGAGGAAAGAACAAGGAAAATGCAGTGGCCCTTCATAAGTATCCAAGGCACTGGTTGCGCCGCCTTCGTGCATCAGACCAAGGCGTTGGGGACATGCCAAGGCAGATGCAACAATAACATAATAGGCTATTTCCTTTCACCTGCCAGATAAGAGGCTTGTGTTTGACATCCGACCGGTATAATCAAACTGGAAATCCCCCTCACTGCTTATCGGCGGAACTCCTGAAATCGTTGGTTGCAATAGCCTTGGAACTTCCGGCAAGCATGCTTTGAGCCTTGAAACAACCTCAGTCATTGTCGGTCTGTCGATGGTTGCGTTTTCGACACACATCATGGCAAGGTCTACCACACTCTGCAGGGAACTAGCATCATATTGATCCAATAACCTCTTGTCGACAACATCGTGAATACTACCTGTAGCAATCTTTTGACGAATCCAGTTTGGTAGATGGATGGTTTGAGGGTTCACCAATACCGGGGGTTGGCCAGTGATGATCTCCAAGAGTACGATGCCAAAACTATAAACATCTGTCTTGACTGTGAGCTGGAAAGTTGCATGGTACTCTGGGTCGAGGTAGCCAAGAGTGCCAGCAGCAACAGTAGATATGTGTGTGTGAGCATCATTAAATGCCCTTGAAAGACCAAAGTCAGATATTATCCCAACCAGATTCTTATCTAGAAGGATGTTGGGGGTCTTCACATCTCTGTGAACTACTGATGGGGTGCATGACTCGTGTAAATACTCCAATCCTGTAGTTTATTGAAACACATACTTTTTCATAACACATAAATACACATCACATAAATATGAATACATAAATGAAATTGAACCTTGTGCAGCATCAAGTGCAATGTAAAGTCGTTGTTCCCAATTCAAGGTATAGTCATGTCCTGCATCAAAACATACCAAATTAATGCAAGTGCCATTTACTACACGCATGACAGCAGAAATCCCAAATTTTTATGTGAAATATCCCTTCACAGCACGCGTCGCAACGCCTGAATAGATCCATGTATTTTGGTCCTGCGCATGCATGTCTCTACTATAACCTCCCCCCCCCCCCAATTTAACGGGTGGGGCCTAGTGTGTCTCCTAATCTTGCTCATGTGAGTTGCTAATAAGGGATTGCTTACACCTGTCGAGAATCAACTGCACCAACGCGCACGTGAGATAGAATCACCCTTTTTAATGTTTGAACATATTTAATCTAACAAATGCTGGTTACAGATGCAACTATTAACCATAGCATCAATTGGTTATAAAACCATGCAAAATAGGCATGTTAATCTTCGAAAGGTAATTGCTTTTCCTTCTCTTTACTAGTGCTCTTCTTTGTTACAAATGTGATTAATAAGAGAATTGAGTACTAAAGTATTATTTGAACATGTACCTCTCTAGTTAGTGTGTTCTCTACAGGGTTGGAGATGTACAAGTTTATAATCATTGATTGACTCCAAGAGTGTAGCTGTGCTCACCCCAATTTGTTTAGTGTGCACCTATTACCTAGAATCTGCGGCTCTTTGAATGTAATTATTGTGGTCTTACTTATTAGTCCAATGTATATACCAAGTAAAGTAGGTCTACCAACACATTTGACTTGACTAGCGACATCATTAATAGTCTAGTAAATGAACCACACCTTTAATCATCAACAAATCAGTTTTAACTCACTAGGATGCCAAAGTCAGACTAGTCAGTTTTTAGAGTTTTTCCCTCATACTGACGACTATATCCTGATAGTTTTTATATTATGTTGTGAAGCAACATTTAGAGACATTAAAATTGTACACTAATCGAGCTCTCTTAGACCATTAGTGTGTTTTAACTGTTGGGTCTGCTACTTTGGGCATTTGCCGGTCGTTGGATGCTATTCTGGTCCCCCTTGGGCTCTGTACGCTGACCACCTTAGAGCTCAACGGAAGTGGGTCGCTGCTCCAGGAAGTATTTCAGGGGTTTTCTATGATTTTGGACCAAATGGGCTAGATGTCACGTAAGTATATCTAAGAAATCCCTAAAATGGCAAGAATGTTGTGGAGAAAAAGAGAAGCAGCCCCACAAGCGTCGATCGCTGCATGTGTGGACGTGATCCCTGGGCGATGCGGGAATCGGTCGATGAGCTATCTGCTCGGTCGACGTCTCTGGTGAGGGGACCAGACCGGTTGATGTGGAGGCGAGGTTGCGGGTGATGCATGTGGAGGCGAAGCAACGACGAATTGTTCAAATGAAGTTGAGGCTACTCATGTAGTGGGGAGTAATTTAGACTAGTGTCATACATATGACACTAGTCTATGTTATCACCTTCATAGTGCAAAGTAACATGTATGTAGTATCATAGATGGTAGCATTTATTAGGTCGTAGACTTTTTTTGTCTTCGGTTGCATCATAGTGCAAAGTGTCATGCATATTATGTTACCACAAACATCTCTCTCCTTATTAACTACATGTCACATAAGCAAACTTGCCTTGAGAAACGTTATGTTACTAGCTAAGTTACTCCCAGTATGACCAGTCTGGTCCTCAAGGATTGAAGGGGCAACCAACCTTTAGTTTTCGGGGACATTCATCGTGATTGATGTGCGCCACTCGTAGGTGGCCATTAAATGTAGGGAAGTGTTTGGTTTTCCCACAGATACTTCCTAGAGCTCCCCTACCTCCAGGTTATCTTCAGCTCCATCCCCAGGGTTTCTTCATGTGCCCTTCATGTTGGCTCTTTCTGGATCTCTGCTACTTGACACCAAATACTATAGCCGACTGTGTAGCTGGTGTCCCTATGCACGTTGTCATCCAAGATGGCCGCTGCACTGCTCCATAAATCACTTGAGAGGATTTAAGAGGGTCATGGACTGCGGATCCAAAGGATTTTTTTACCGGTCACATCGACATAACTTAGAAAACCTCCTGCGGCTGGTTGTTGCTAAGCTTCGATGCACTTCTTTAGTTCTCAGATCCTTCAATCTACATATGGTTTGATCTGGAACACTTTCTATACTTTATTTTCCTGTGTATTTTTTGGTTTTGTATGATGTTTGCAGATGAAAATAAATCTCAAATTAGGATATATATATATAATGTGTGCAACACACTAATGTCATTGAGAATTCAGCAAACGTAAAGTGTCTATTACTCTATGCAATGTTTTGTACCATTATAATTTATATGTACCGGAGGAAACGGGTGCCACCGACGAAAGGGTGACCGAACTTTGATCATGTTGTTGTCAAATGGTGTCTCCAGATCATGTTGTTGTTAGATGGTGTCTCCAGATCACTTCAATGATGTGAATTTCATAGAATGAACAATATGAGTTTCAGTGAATGTGATTGTTCTGTTGAGCTCAAAACTGTTGGAAGTATGACCTAGAGGCAGTGATATCGTTTTACTATATTTCCTTTTCATAATTAGAGTTTATATTCTATGCTATAACTCCTATGATCCTGGAACATGTGATTCAGTGGAAAACTCATATGCACGTGTAGAACGATAAACAGTAAAATAAGATTCCTAATCCTTCCTATTAGACTAGCTCAAGTGTTGTTGGTGATCACGTTTTCCGAATCTTGAGGTATCATTAAGTGTAACAATAGTCTGAAAACAACATTGAGAGTATGACGTTAGAACAACGATCATATTGAATCGACTCAAACTTGTTTGTTATACTTTGAGATAATATCATCATGTATCAATTGTTATAACATGGAGTATTAACTTGTGATTTTAGTTCCTTAGACCATGAGAGTATGATAGTCAATTCTTACCGTACAGTGAGCTTTGGGGTTGCTCAAACGTCATCAGTAACTTGGTGAACATAACGACAACTTACAGGTTCATCGAAAAGTTTGACAAGGGACACGGTAGCTCGAGAGTAAAATTTGCTCCTCCAACATTGGAGAGATATTCTTAGGTCCCTCTCGGTGTGACGGCATCCATCATCGTCTGGCCAGACACAGGTGACATCGTCACGGGGATGATGGAACACGACAACGAGAAAGAAGAACAAAACCGGTAGCAAGGAGACCGGTATAGTGAGCATGTGTATGACCCAAGACGATACCAATATATCTCACCTTGGGTTTACAAAGTATCGTGAAGCAAAGGTAACATCACATGATAACCAAAGGTTCACTCGAATGTCATTCATGTAATCATAGGGATCGATATGGACGTCATGGTTCCGCTATCGGTCATTGAACGAAGGGGTTTCGTTCACGTTTATGATTTACTGAACCTACATGGTCACAAGCTTAAGGTAATCGTGATCTTCTAAATGTTAGTAGGACAAGAGTATCGAGGATTTATTTGTGAAATAGTTTCATTAATATTCGGATAAGTTCTGAGAGGAACCAGAAGCGTTTCGAGGTCATAGGAAGGGTTTCAGAGGTTATTAGGCAATACTGGGTATTTCGAATAAATAATATATAGGTGAAAAATGTTTTCGATGATGTTCTATTAATAATAAAAGGCCCTATAATTGTTAGAACGCTTTTGTAATTAATTAAATATCAACGGGCCTTAAAGGCCCCGTGTGTCTTGGGTCACGAAGGCCCAAGTGGAGGTGGTGCCCCCCTTTCCAAAGGGGAGGCTGAATTGGACTAGGCGAGGAGTAGGTGAGGAGTCCAACTCCTCCTTGGCTGGCGCCCCAAGGGGGGACTTTTCCCTCCTTGGTGGCTGCCCCTCTCTCCCCCTCTAATGGTATTGGCCCCTTTTCTATACACAAGTTTTAGGTGTCTCCTCTAGTCCAATACTACTAGTTCTAGTTGAGATAATTAGAGTTAGTTCTAGTTCCTCTAATCCACATAATTAGAAGCCCCGTGTGTCTCTAATCTCCTCTCTAATTCTCTAGCAGCGATTAGTTCAGGACGGTGAAGTGTTGACAGATCATTAAGATTGTACGCTTGCGAACTGTAGAGAAGTCGTGCGTTCGTTCTTCGGTTCAAGGGGATCGTTCGAGGGAGGTTTGCGGGATCATTAGTTGACTATTCTAGGGACTCCAAGTACGATCTACATTGACTTGTTTGCTTCCGCTAGAACTCAAAGTTGGTAACGATCATGATCCAATTCTCTAATGCACCTTCATATTGTTCCTGGGTGTTCATAGGGTGATTATTTTCTGTTTTCTACTACGTTTTCCAACAGAAACAATCATTTTTTATTATATGTTCTTTTTTCAACTATAACTTGAACCTTTTTGGTTTCGTTAAATTAAATCGGGGAGGAATCCCTTCTTAAAAAGAGTATTGGGACTAACGTACACATGACCACATCATATTCATCTGAATGATATCTATATCGATTAGCATGGGATGTGTACATGTTATGTTAGTTCTAGTCGAATTCACATAGAAACTCGCCTTCCAACTAGAAGATACTAATAAACATAAAAAGGGGGAAAATTAGAGTGGACAACTCGGGACTAGTACCTTTTAAGCCATGGAAACACATTGATCATGTTGTAATGATTTCCCTTCTTGTGCTCTGCAGTTTGTTAGTTGTGTTTTTGCTGTGTTTGGCATTGCCAATAACCTGCTACAGCTCTGTGGCGCACAGATTCTTCCCTACGGTTTCTAACCGAGGTTGGTAATTGAGGTGTTTTTTCAATAGGCCACCTTGTCTTGATATATATTACCATGAAAGTTCTACTTGATTCCCAACAAACTATAGTGGAGGTGAATTTTTGGAAGTTGATTTCGTAATCACTAAAGCTGGATATGAACTACAGTTACAAACAAGGACAATGTAGACACAATTTCTTATTTGCATACATCTCTCATTTACATTATATCCTCGGTTAGTCTATTTTGACACCTCTGTTTATTCTTTGTTAGTGTTCAAGTCCAACTATCTCAACATTCCTCCCATGTTGCCAATTGGTTCTTGGTATGTCTTTGGATCAACTGTTTTCATTTCATCCATTCAGGTAAATCTGAATGCTTCGTATATGTAATGTTAGTCCACTTGACCATTTGATAACAATGACACGCAACAACACTGAAATAATACATGTATGGTGCTACATACATGTTTCTTTTAATGGTTCTTTCCCTCTTTGCTGGAAATACAAGAACCAGTTGTCAAGATCACATGCCATATAGTTGTTCAGGTTTTGGTTTTCCAAGTTTCTGCTAGCATGATTAGCTATTAAAATTTGGGATGCACTAGATAAATGTTAGATGTGCTACTTGTGTTGATAGACCTACAATGAAATGACAATGAGCGGATATGTATAGTTCACTTTTATACAGTTGAAGTTATGTTCTTTCACTCATATCGTCTTTACATGTTCCTGAAAATGAAATTTGATTCGAAGTGGCATGTATGGATGTAGACCTGGTTCATAGACATATCTTCTTATAGCTCTTATAAAACAATAGAGGATCAACAAATGGTTTGGTACCATGGTTACGTACAATTTTGTATTCCTTAGTTACCTAGCATCAGTCTACTTACTTTATGAAGAGTTGATCCTATGCCATCTATTTCGGGTTACTCTATTTTGGCATGCCATGCGCATGCTGCTACTCTCTATGTGGTATGTCATACTAGGGTATTACTACTTTGTAGTATCCTAATTTTGGTGGTTACTCTGGTTCTATGCCCTGCTTACCTAGGGAAAGTTTGGTTCGTTGGAAAGACTAGTTGACTAGAGATAGATCTAAATTTTCCTGGTTCAATGTAGTATTAATTGTCAATTATTAACATCGTCAACATTTTACATAATAATATACCACCTGTCTGTTTTTTTGTATATTCTTATCATCCCATTGCAAAAATAGATGGACGCAACAACACGCACCAATTATGATCTAGTATATTGACATAATTGGGAGCGTAGGTGGTTTTTGAAGTGGTTAATCAAAGTTGTTGGCATTTGGATCATTTCGTAGTTGTCGATTCTGTAGGTAATAAAACCCTGACTTGCTCAACTTGCTTTTCAGACTGAAAAATTTAAGATTTGGTTGAATGGTTAATTTTACAAAATTCAACTACAAACTGCCTTTGTCAGAACTGAAAGAGAAGCTAGAGATATAACAAACACCAATTTGGATTGGTTCTACCTTAGTCATGTAGTCAAGTATGCTTGATAGAAACCATTAAGTAAAGTTAAGAGAAAAACCTCCTCTTAAGATTTGTTGAAGATTTCCTCTAGACATGAAGTCATAAACGAGTGCTAGGCACTTCTTGTTTTGGCAATATCCTGCCAAAGTCACGAGATTCTTGTGATGAACTTTGGACAAGGTTTGCACCTGCGGCATCGTATATAATTAGAGACATCCCAGAGTTCAAGCCAATTGCATTAGTTTGATGAAAATGGACTGTCAAAAGGCTTTAGACATCTTACAGACTTAAGAGTTTCTATCGAAGAAAGCAATGATTTTTCTCAGTCGATTTAGGTCATACCTCTGGGAGGAAGTCTGTTGACTCTGCTATTGATGTCTCCATAAGCACCTTAACAGCTACTTCATCGCCATTTTCCAGTATGCCATGATAAACAGTACCAAAACCTCCTTTTCCAATGATTGATTGGAAGTCCTTAGTGATGAACTTCAACTCTACATAAGTGAACCGTCTGATATCAATATGTAGGGGTGTTTCCTCTTCATAAATATCATAGTCCTCATGATCTCCTGAGTTCCCTGCAAAGCTAGGAAGTTGGTTGTTAATAGAATTAAAGGTTTGAAGCACATGTCTAATGTCTATGACCTATTAATTTATGAGAAATAAATTTGAGAGAGCATCATTTTATTTTACCTTTTTGGCATACCTTCCATAATACGCCCAACACAACTAGGAGTGATACCAATACCACTGGAACTATGACTGCAGTGAGCATGACATGTTTGGAGTTCTTCGTATTTGAACAATACATGTATTTTCCTTTTGAGCAAATGGGATTGCCTTCTAGTCTAGTGACGCAATTACACAACATATTAAAACTCAAAATCTTAGGTGTAACAACTCTATCTCGTTACAATTATAACATGCCTCCATTTTCTAACGTAACCAACCTGATAATAGTGCTTTCAAACTAAATTAATCTCTAAAAGAATAAAACTACATGGTTTCTAAATAGATTTGTATCTCACTCTCATATTGAAAACCTATAGGTGATAAAGCATTAGTAGTTTTTAGATACTAGTATATGTACTAGGGGCGTGTTTTGGATCAATACAATACACGGCCAAAGTGTAGCTTGCCACACCTTTTGTGGAGCCCAAATTGGTTGCCACAATTTCATCAAAATTTCGTAAGAGTTTATGTGTATGAGAAGTCGGATATGATTTAGAAAATGTGGTCTGGAAAGAATATGGCATTAACTAAACAATGGCAGAAGAAAAGGAAACTTCCCTGACTGATATGGCAAAGTACATGTATGAACCAAAAATTCCCTTAGCTCCTCAATTGTTTTCAACCAATGCATTTATGTTATATGTGCAAAGAATTGTTCCTAAACTTTGAATTAATTTGTATCATTATTTAGTGATAACTGAGGTTTGAGCCATTTTCTTTCGGGTGATAAAAGTACAATTATATCAACTAGTGATCGTGCAATAGAGCAAGCCAAACCTTAAGTCAAGTAGGCCGGCCTGAAATCTTTGAACAATGGAATTAGGGATTGGTCCGTCGAGCTGGTTATAAGACAAATTGCTGAAAGTAGTAGCTAAATCATCAATCTAAAATTTATACCATTAGCGGAATGTTGAAACGGTACAGAAACTCACAGGACTTTTAGTGACTTTAGTTCATAGTTTGGAATAGTGCCCGTCAAGTTGTTGTGAGATAAATCCCTACATATATTTTTGCTCTCAAGGTCACAAAATATGCCAACATATTTTCATTTAGCTCATCAAAATTATGCGGTAGGGATCACTTACAAATTTTCCAGTGATGCCATCATGAAGAATGATATAGCTAATACACCTCTTAGTTTGCTCGTAGACATATTTCTGCAAAATAATCTATCTCACTAAGAGTCGTAATTTACCTACACCATTGAGCTTACACGTGTTATTATAATAACTCACTTAATAAAAGTGATTAATTTACAAACATAGTGTTTTGGGTTTGAATTACCAGTGTTTTCAAGATATCAGCTACTCCCTCCCTTCCAGTTTATATGACCCGCACATATCCCTCAATCGTCAATTTAACCAATGTGATATGAGTATACCATTTGAAACTTTTTTCGAATATGATATGAATTCAATGATATACCTTCTGAGGCATATAACTCATATTTGATTGGTTAAATTAATGATCTAGGGCACGTAGGTCTTACAAACCAGAAGAGAGTGAACACTAATGTACTCGGTAGTAACATACAACCTTCGAAAGCAAAAACTAATTTAGAGCAACATGTAGCGTTAAACTAGTTGGTATTGATGTGATGTACCCCAAAGGTTAAAAATATGATAAACTGTGTCGGATGGGTCTTGGTCGTGTTCTTACACTCGGACAATCCTCGGATTCTGGTTGCCATTCGAATAGTCGCAAGTCAAACCTTCCCAGGTATACTCTCTTGGGGAGCATGGATCTCCATTCCAGTTTCTTCCCAAATTGTAGTGTTTTTTCACCTCTTTCATGTAATTGACTGCAAGAGCAAAATGAAATAAATTACATGACAAGGGAAACCTTCCTAAACATGACAATGATAAAGGAAGCTGTACATGTTGATAAAAGAAGTTGTATATGTTGATAAAGGAAGTTAAATATTAATTAACATGAAACAACAACTTTCCCCTATTTTTTCAATGTAAGGTCATGTCAGTGTTGAACAGAGCAGGGAACCTTCAGGTGTCTATGCAGTGGGAATCATTCACGAGTCATGACTGATCTTACCGTCCTCGGAGGAAGTGGTGAGGTTGTCCGTCCGAACAATCGAGTACACCTCAAGCGCATTGATGAGCGGCGGGAGCTTCGAGCCGGGGACCTTGCGCAGCATGAAGGACGTAGTGTTGGACCCGCTCAGGAACCGATTCGTCAAGAACCGATTCGTCGGGTACATGCTCTCTACCCGCATCGGCGACAGGGACACGTCCTGGAACAGCAACTCGTCTGCGCTGTAGACATTGAACGTCCTGTTTGGGATGTCGCCAGCTATCTCAGTGAAATGGAATATCGGGAGAAGCTCCATGCCCCTGATGTCCAGGTTGCTACCGACCTCCACGCTAACTTCCATAAAGGAGTAGTTTGTATCCAGGGTCGTGGCTTTCTGGAGGATGACCTCTGGTACTTGGAAGACGTCAATGCTGTTGAGCCTGTTCACTGGTCTGCTAGTGTTCAGGCTGATCCAGGGGTAGGTGTTGAAAGAGAAAGACCAACCCTCCCAGAACCGGTCGTAATTGTCCACTGGATATCTTCATCGCACACAAAGACAAGGGAAATCAGGTAAATGAAACAAATTTGCAACAGTTCATTTGGTTGAACTAAGGAGGGTCAGAGAGGGTATCTTAAGGGTCATAAATTTGCATCCTAATTGCTACGGGAACTGCCAATCCCAACTTAATTCTTGAGACCGTGAGATTGACTAGTACTTCCTCTGTAGAAAAAATATAAGAGTGTTTGGATCACTAGTTCACTACTACTTTAGTGATCTAAACACTCTTATATTTCTTTACGGATGGAGTACTAGTTTTTGTTAGAAGCAATTGCAGGATTCAAGAAACAAAAGAGTAAGCACTGGAAATGCATTCACCTAGCCTACAGAATTTAAAACCACACTTACAGGAGAGACATAATTCAGATATAATCCGAAACCGGAGTAAATATTATGGATGCCTTCTCACCTTGTGATATACTCAGCGGCGTCCCCAAATCTGAACCGTCTCAAGTAGCTGACAGACACATAAGTACTCAGAAAAGGGTACATTGCATCTCCTAGTGGCCTCAGCTCCAATGAAGACACGAACGGAGTCCCTGAACCCAAGTTTATCAGACAGAACGACAGGAGGTTGGCCGGAGCCATGGTGAGCACCTCTTTCCATAATGTGAGCGATGGATCTAAATTTGTCAAGTTCACTGTCTCCCAGAAATTGACGCCGATATGCAGCCCAAATATGAACGGCGAGCCGTCCATACTCCTGTTCAACCCATCATAGTTTCCGTAACTGAACATGGCCCTCAGCAGAAACTTCTTACCGATGGCGGATGGCAGCGTATAGCAGTTCCGTTTGCCGTCAGGGAAGCTCCTCAGCGTTTTTTGTTGCTCGTTCCCTGCATCAGCAATGAACTCTGCAGAAATTTTGGAGCTCAAACCGCCTTCCATAAATTTTCCGTCAGAATCATACGGTAGTCCTGTGGCGCTGTCGTTGTAGGTGCTACCTGCACTGTCTGTCCATCCACAGTCGACGCTTAGGAACCCTGCGCAAAATTGAGAGTATGCATCACTGTATCAGTTTCACGCGTTCCTAGTTCAAGGTCTACACAAGGATTATTTTGTTTAGAGCAACCTACGCAAAGATCACGACTCACGCGACTAGATATTCTGAAGGCTCTAGCTAATAATATGTGGATTGCTAAGATTTTAACAAAGTGATTCTTTAAAAATTGCACACTAAAGTAAACTGAAATGTGCAGATGGAGCAGGATCAATCAGGTGCAGGATCTAGAATGAAAAAAAGCTACGAAGGATATGGCTTGTATTACCAGATTGGCCATCGACTCGAAGCATCATGACCAAGATGAGCAGCAGCGCCAACATCCATGTCAGTTTCGTACGTTCCGAGCAACTGAAGCTGCTCGCCATGGTACTCCTCGGCTCTCGCAATGTCTGGAAGCAATCAAGCGAGAAACTCTGTATCTGCTACCAATGGCGTGTGTGGCGATATAACAGAGAAGAAGACTAACGCGGTTTGGTGCACTGGAATGACTTGGCCTCGGCGCTTAATTAAGTATTTAGAGGAACAGAACTTCTGCTAATCAGTACTCGTGAAAGGAATGCAACTTGGAATAGAGTTTGCACGTCAACTATCGTGCTATTGGACAATCTCTCATGACCTAGTGTGCATCAGGGGCAACGACGAAGTCCCAAGTCACTGTACAGCTGTCTCCTATAGCGACGCACGCTGACATTTCACTGAATTACCAGTAATAAAATTGTACTCTTCTCAATACAAAAAGGAGAACTTGCAAGAGCAGTTGGAAGATGCGACGCCAAATCCTAGCATGACCAGGCTGACATAAGAATGAGCGAGAGTTTCTCAAAAAGAAAAGGAACAGAGAACGAAAACGTTATTGCTCTGACGTTCGCTGGGAAGGGTTTTCTCGGCATGTGGCGTGGCCGATCTCCTCGCACAAATCTCAACACGTTCGTTGGAAAGATCATTTAGAGGAAACGCCTGAGCGGAACATACTTCTTCGCTCGTTTGATGCTACCTTTTTTTTAAGGGGAATCTAACATATAAAACCTTTGATGCTAGCATGTGGCCGGGAGCGCCCCACCACAGGAGGCGGTCGTCGTTGTTCTTGCTCCCCGCACCATCGGCGTGTTGTTGGTGGAGGCCAGCCACTCCGCCTGCCGGCGTTCGAAGTACGCCGCCCACTCCTCGTGGTTGCCGGCGGCGTACTCCGGGAGGGCCCGCCTCCGACAGAGACGCCCGCGCACGCTCGATCTCGGCGCGGAAGTTATCGAGGCGCGTGACATCGGGCACGGGGGGAGGGGGGAGGGGGCAGGGACGCCACCGACGTTGAGCCTCCACCGTCCCGGCGCGCTCATGTCGGGAGGCGCCGGGTAGTTGGCTTCGTGAGGAGATGGGCTTCCCACTCGTGCAGAGAGCGGCGGCCGAAGCCATTGGCCGCCGCCGCGTCGCTGGGGAACCTTTCGCCCATCATCTGCGGCGGCTGTGGGAAGGGAGAGGAAAGAGAGCTTGTCGGCGCCGGCTGTGCACGGGGAGAGAGAGGGGGCTGCGGGCGGGTGTGTCCACCAACG